ACCATCAGGGTCTCCTGCTGCGATTCACGTGATCAGAACATACTAAACGTGTATTGAACTTTTGGCCATCACACAAGCACTGCGTGATTTGCGCCCTATCCTCCTGCGTACCCGGTCAAGGACGAAGGGAACCCACATGATTGTCTTTGGGGACAGCAAAAATCTAAAAAAGGATTTTCAGTTTCCCTCTGACCAGCGGCAGTTGAACGTCGCTGGGCAACTCGCCCCGATTCCAAAAACGGACTGCCCACTGAGATGGAGAAGACAGCAAAGTCTGTCGACTAGGGGTGAAAGGACTGCTATGAAACTGAATTAACCTAACCAAACGCCTGTACGAGATGCTGTGGACTTGTGAAAGAAAAGGAATCCAGGAAAATCGCCGGCCGGCCAAAATGTTGTTTTAGCATCAGAACTCTCGCTTCGGCGAATCAGAACTTTGTGTGAAAATATCAACTCGACTGAAAGATAAGTTGATTCTCTTGGCTTGATCTGTTTTTATATATATGTATGTATTCGCTCGCGCCTTCTGTTCTTTAATGAAACCCTCCCCCTTTGTTAAATGAATGTTCCTTTTTTTCTTTGTTTATTCTTTATATATATTTATAAATAGATGTTTTATTTTGAAATCCATCGTCTTGTGTCTGTTCTTCGTTGATTCCCTTGTGTCGCTTCCATTTCTGAGTGAAGACCGAGAAAAGAAACCACGTTTTCCTTTTTTTTTAAACCCGTGGTTCATCTATATGCTACAAGTTCGTAACAATATATATATATGATAGAAATTATTAGAAGGATTTGATAATTATAATTAAGTAATTCATCGATTCTGAAAGAAACCTCAACAGAATGCAGAAAGCACTGGACGGCCGTTTCGTCCCATATTTGGGACTCATCAGCAGTGCGCATCCACTACCGAGAATTGAAACCCGGACAGATAGGTTATCAAGCTAACGTCATACCAACTGTTCCACGGTGTCGAAGAGGTTGCAAATCAGACTCAATATAGCGCCGCTCGCTCATATATTCCGTGGTGGAACTCATCTGAGATTCTCTCTAACCATAGGACTGTGCCCCCAGGAGCCACGACTACTATCACCAAGCCGCTCAAACTTGAACATTAGAAGCCGGTTCAAGCAATGATATACAAATGATAGAAATTATTAGAAGGATTTGATAATTATAATTAAGTAATTCATTGAGTCTGAAACAGTTGGTACAGTTGGTATTCCTGCTCATTGTGCTGACACATTGCTACTCCTCATTGTTTTGCCCCACTCCTTAGACATTACCTCTTCTCTTGTGATGTAATATATTGTCTGGATAAATTTAAACCATTTTGTAATTTCGCTCGGATGAGGCAGATATTAATAACTTATCTATCGAAATAAATTTATTAATGAATTCCTGGATCATGTGTTAAGTTTTTCCTTTGATATATATATATATATATATATATATATATATATATATATATATATATATATATATATATATATATATATTTGTATGTATGTATGTATGCGTTTGTTTCCTTTTTTTTTCTTTTTTTTTTTTTCATAAAGGAGATGTTCTCTGTCTCGTCACTTTTTTTTGTGTGTATATATATATATCTAAATATGTCTGGATGCTTATGTATTATAATCTGATTGTGTTTGTGTTGCTTTACACGTGAGTTTACGAACCCATTCGCACACTTGAGATTAAAATGTATACATATATATTGTCAGAGGACCGGATGGAGTAACGTCTATTCTAACGTAATTTCAACGAAGAAATAAATTGAATAACATAAGTATTTCCCCTTTTCTCCTCGGTAATTTTATAATTTTAAACTTAATAGTGATTAAATTTGGATTTTAATATTGGCAGTTTTTAATTTTAATATCAAATTCTATCATATAATTTAATAATTATTGGTTAGAATAAATTCTTTTTTTAAATTTTACCCGTATTTTGACGATCTGAATAGCTATTATAACACGACTTCGTTGTCAGGCTTTTTGAATTTTCCTATACTTGTATTTTGATTGGTCATTCTAGCTTTTGGAACAACGTTTTCCCCTTGTGAAAGATCGTTAACTAATTTGAAACTTTTAAAACCATTTGTTTTGCATTCAACATCATCACTTGATAAGACACCGGGAGTGTTGAAACAAAATGGCTATTTTTGTAGTGATTTTATAACATGTTTGTGTTATAAATTTTCTAAATTTTCTAAATAAATAATTATATATATATATATATATATATATATATATATATATATATATATATATATGCGTGTGTGAGCCTGTAAAAATTCAGATATAACTACAATATATTTATAAAAGGAGAATATGAATAAAGGCGAAAGGAAGACTAACAACATTTTTACTTCTGTTTATAAGTATTTATTGGAAAATAAAAACCTCTTTACAATTGCCTTAATAATATCCATGTAAGGACGAAACGCGTCGGCTAAAATAAATTTCCCTTTTGTTTTTATTCATATAAGAACATGTAGATAAGAACCTTCCATTTCAGTCATCTTGTCGTCTGGTATATCATCATATCTTATTCCCTGAAGGGACATTTAAATAAAAGGAAATTGTGGAGACATCATCGCCTACATTGTGGAGGGACATTTAGAGAAGTTTTTATGTCCACACCAGATTTGCTTCCATCGTTGTCTTTCCAAAAAGACTTTTAACTACTACTCTTGGAGGGATAAATTTATACGTATGATATATATATATATATATATATATATATATATATATATATATATATATATATATATATCGAGATGTGTATGATTTTAAGAAGCTTTCTTGAACATATTACAAGGACTGGAATATTCGTCCGAGTACGAGGAATAATTTGCGCGTTTTTCATATTCAATATTCGGTCATTTTTCAAATTCTTAGAATTTTAAGTGTAAATAAGTTTAAAAACAAAAGTGAAACTGATCTTGGAAGGCCTCATCTACATTCGGAAATTACCCCCAACCTTCCATAGATGATTGCGGGGAGAATGTACGAGGTTGTTTTGTTTTTACGATTAACTAAACCATTCCCAGAACGGTTAACAAACAATCCGCACTCATTAAACCTATTTTCTTCGTTTAAAAACAAAACAAAAAATACTCACTAAATGCAAGTAGAAATGTGATTGACGCTGTAGAAGTGCTAATTAGCTCTAGAATTAAAAAGAAGCGTGAAATTGCAACAAACTGAATCCAATCAAATGTCACAACAAATTGAGAAAGAAATGGCGAAGCAATGGCAGCCATGTTTATTTTTCTTTTATCTGCGAATCATAAAAATAATCGAATTTTTTTTTTGCAGGAAGTACAGCACATATTATAAACCATTTAACCATTTGGTTGAGTCGTAAACAATTTCTGTTTTTGTTTTATCAAATTTATTCTTGCGTAAATAAAGAATAAGAAAATTTTTCTCATCGGAATCCACCTTACACATTTACAGATCTACCACTTGTCCGTATAAATGGTAGATTTGTAAATGTCTGTTGCCATATCTGGTCTAGTGTTCCCGCTTTACACCTTGAGATACTTGACAAAATCCAAAGAATTAAGGTAATTTTCACATTTCGCGTAAAACCCAGGGTCTCAAATTCACATCAATCCAACTCTCTCTCTCTCTCTCTCTCTCTCTCTATATATATATATATATATATATATATATATCATTATATTTGTTTAACTGACAGTCTTTGACAGTCATATCATATCTTTCTCTCTCTTTATATATATATATATATATATATATATATATGGTAGAAAATAGTAATAAATATATAGTAGTAAATATAATTTCAACAGAATGCACATGAAGTTTCGATAAAAATTTGGGGTATTGAAGCTTTATTTGTAATTATGAAAGCTGGGTGAATAATTCTGTCCATATCTATCTATTCATCTATCTATATATATATATATATATATATATATATATATATAATGATAGTCTATTTTTGTTTATATGGAAGATTTTCAGGCAGCGACAAACTCGTGCATACGAGACGCTAGAAGCAATTTTCGCTTCCAGCGTCTCGTATGCATGAGTAAGCAGAAAGATAAGATAGGATTAAAAAATATGGTCATGTGTGACGTCATGATCTGTGTTGCGATGTTCGTTTCCAGCGTCTCGTATGCACGAGTGTGTCGTTGCTTGGAAATCTTCCATATATATATATATAAATATATATATATATATGTGTGTGTGTGTGTGTGTGTATTGTTTTCACTCTAGGGAAATGGCTGCTAAAAATCCATACTCCCAAATTTATAGACCAACCCTACGATCTAAAACCCATTAAAATCGACAATCCTCCACATATTTTGTATTTCTTACCTTGAAATCAAACGGTTATAACCACTTGACTGTATCCCTTTTGCGTGTGAACGTTATTTCTATTTTGTCAACTGTTTTCTTTGTTATCGTTTCATCATTGCTTTGCTTTACCATGCATTACATTGTTTTGTTTCGTACTATTTTGTCCTGTTCTTCTTCCTATTCTTATTGATATTGAGAATTTTGCCAGTTTCTTTTAACCATGCCTGCCTCCTCAACAGTCAACTGAGCGCAAGGGGAACTCTGAAGTTAAATCAGTGGAGGCGGTAACAGCGAACTAGTCCACCAAATCTCTAAAGATCAGGAATTACAATACACAAATAGTTGAGGGTGACGTAATTATTATCAACACTAGAAATACAATCAGTAGGATTTTGACCCAGGCTCTTGCGTTCAGGACCCCTTTGAGAAAGAAAATAATCCATTTCTTCTCCCCTACAAATATGGATTTTTGGGCAGGGTAACCAGCTTACGACCAGGACAACCAGCAATTTACTCACCCTGCCAAACAGATCATAACCAGAGTGGTAGGTTAACGTCCATACGTATGAGATGCTATCCATAATTTAACCAGTCTCGGGGAAGGAACAACTCTTAATTTAAAACACTGGAAAAGAAGACTAGAAATCACTTTAGAACACTCGTGGTATGAAAAAAGGGTAACCAGCTTACGTCAAGGAAAACTTGGAATTCACTCGCCCTGCCAAACAGGCGCATGCTTACCGGATGTTATCCAAAATTAAATCAGTATCGTAGACAAGAACAATTACCAATTTAAAACATTGGAAGCGAAAACAAGAAATCATTTTAGAATAGTCGTGGCATAAGAAATTAAAACAAATAGGAAATCTGTAACTTGAGAGCGTTAGAAACCCTACTGCGAAGATTAGGTGAGAGGCGATATTTAGTCACCCCCCCCCCACGAGGGCGTCATGTGGCACAAGGCCTTTTTAACGTGGGATCTCCGAGCCCGTGGGCTCGGCCAAAAATTTGCCCATTGAACCCGTATAAATGGGTTTAGGGTCGGTTTACCTCCCCGAAAAAGAATCCGCACTTCGGCGTAGCCTCGTTCGGGTTCCTCCCCGCCCGAAGGCGGAGAGTTCAACCGAACAGCCGGTCAACAGTTGAGCGACTGACTCAGTTAGGTGAGAGACTGCCTGACTACTCATTGGACAGAACTAGCTCAAACTACACTGAATGAATTTCATATAAAACAAGAACAACTAAGTCGGCAAGGAAGATAAATCAAAATTAAATTTGAACTTAAACCGTTAAATATCCTGCTTTGCGTTCAGTACCCTTGGGAAAAGACAAGAATCCATATCTTCTCTCTCTCCTCCAAATATAGATTACATCACGGGGCCGGTGCGATTTGGGGCAGGGTAATCAGCTTACGACTAGGGTAACTCGGAATTCTCTCACCTTACCAAACAGGCCATGACCAATGAGTGACCTTTTTAAAAGCAAGTACGCATAATTTAATCATCGGTTCCATTTATTTTTTCCCCTAAATTTTCTATTGGTTTCAAGTTCGGTGAATGATTACTAAAGATCCATCCTCTCCTAATTTATAGACAAATCCTACAGATGCATGCAGGGATTAATTTCTTTGGATTAAATCGCAGGACAGATACGACTTTTTGGCAGGGTAACCAGTTTACGTCAAGAAAAACTAGGAATTCACTCGCTCCGCCAAACAGGCGCATAGTTACAAGATGCTATACAAAATTTAATCAATCTCGCAGACCGAAAAATTTTCAATTTAAAATATTGAAAAAGAAAACAAGAAAACATTTTAGAACAGTCGTGGCGTAAGAAATTAAAACAAATGAGAAATGTGTAATTTGAGAGCGTTAGAGCGCCTGTCGTAAAGATTAGTGGAGAGAATGCATGACTATTCATTGGACAGTACCGGCTCCAACTACACTGAATGAATTTCAAGTTAACCAAGAATTAAGTCGGTAAGGAAGATAAATCAAAATTAAATTTCAAGTCTGTCCGTTAAATGTCTTGCAAATTACCGAATGTGTTTATGAAGTTTGGTGTTCTGTTTTTTAAGCAATTAATTCATTACAAATTGTTAAATCCAGTCTGTCTGTCAGTTAATCGAATTCTGTAGCTGTTTAAATAGGATAATTACATTTGCATGGCGTCTTCACTTGTATTACCATTCTCCCAAGAGACGACGGAGTTTGGATTTTGCTTCCAATGCTTGTGGATGCTTTCTAACCAAAATTTAACACTGTCTTACAATCAATACAACTACAACGGAAGAATTCTTCTAGTCTCCACTTGTCTTGGGACAACTGCACTCAGGAGAAATAGACAAGCTGTTAGCGTCACGGTCACCAGAGCACCGGAGTGAATTCTACGAGCCGAGTTCGAATTTCGGTCAAAATGTTCCCTTCTGCACCAACACCCTCGGGAAAATCACAAATCTTTAGTATATGCCCCCCCCCAGCACCATAAGATGATACCAAAATGATACGTCAGTGAAATCATGGCATGAACGGGTTGATCTGAAAAGTACCCTCCTAGCCGCCAGGTACAGATCCGCACCTTACAAGGTGTTTCAGTTTATCCCCACCTCCCGACATGTAAACAAGTCGTCGACGCAGCTACGCTTAGGATGTACACAGGTGGGACAAACTGGATGATGGCTAGATATATAAGCACCCACCCAAGAGGGCATAGGTAGAACCTCTATAAATCCTCGAAAGAAGAATCCATATGCGAAAAAATAACATAAGACTAAACACCGACTCGCCGATATCAACTGATGAAGTCCGGTTCTCACTCCTCCCTAATATTTTAAATCAGAGTAGAAGTTTATCACTTGTTTCCTTTTTAGTATTGGGATTCTGGCTCCTTTTAAAAGTCTACTTTAACTCTATACTCTTAACTTGTAAGAATTATTTTGGAGATGATAATGATTTAGTAATGCAATTCTTACTAATTAACCCATAGCTGGGGGAAAAGAGGTGGATTTATACCTTTCCCTAAGGTATATCCATGTAAGTGAATATAACGAAGTCTTCGATTCATAATTCCGAGCCGTTATCCATTACATCAACCGCACATCCAAGCTTACAGCACCGGTCATTCCGAAGCGGTCATCTGTCTAGGTTCAGACCAGGCTCAACGTTGCTTAACTTTTGTGATCTTACGGGACCCGGTATTTCAACGTGACGTGGCCGTAAGTCCCGGATGTAGCATGGCGAGCTTTACCTACAGAGCTCTGAACTGTTGAAACTAAAGAGTGGAGCGTATGTGAACATTTGTCATGGAAACAGCAACAGAGCGGGCAACTTTGCGTCTCTGGGGAAAGAGGATGTATAGTGGGAAACTCAACCCGATTTTGAACTCTATCAATGCTGGAAAGCGAGGATTTAGCAGCTCCAGCTTTGACATGAGACCTATATTGCATTTTCGGTCTCATCTAACACATGTAAAGATAAATCATGGAAGAAGGAGTCAGGAACTTTTTGGAGCTTTTATAAAGGGCCGAAGATTTTGCCGGCACCTTTAGCTATGGATCGTATATATGAATTCCACTGAAGGCCAGGAGTGAACTAGTCTCTCTGGACTTGGTTATCAGTCAGTCTAGGAGGATTGTACTGAAATGGAAAACCGCAATGAAGACAACAGGAAACCATTCCACTATCTTTCTAATAAGTCAGGACAATTCAAAGATAATTAAAAACAGAATCTGATGAGAACCATCATCGTCGTGAAGGTATATTTAAAGAAAAGGAAATTGTGGAGGGCCATGATCGCCTACGTTCTGAAAGGACATTTAAAGAAAATGAAATTGTGGAGGAGTCGTGATCACCTGTGTTATGGAGGAACACTTAAAGAAAAGGAACTTGTGGAGGGCCATGATCGTCTACGTTCTGAAGGGACATTTAAAGAAAATGAAATTGTGGAGGAGTCGTGATCACCTACATTATGGAGGAACACTTAAAGAAAAGGAAATTGTGGAGGGCCATGATCGCCTACGTTCTGAAGGGACATTTAAAGAAAATGAAATTGTGGAGGAGTTGTGATCACCTATGTTATGGAGGAACACTTAAAGAAAAGGAAATTGTGGAGAGCCATGATCGCCTACGTTCTGAAGGGACATTTAAAGAAAATGAAATTGTGGAGGAGTCGTGATCACCTACATTATGGAGGAACACTTAAAGAAAAGGAAATTGTGGAGGGCCATGATCGCCTACGTTCTGAAGGGACATTTAAAGAGAATAAAATTGTGGAGGAGTCGTGATCACCTATGTTATGGAGGAACACTTAAAGAAAAGGAAATTGTTGAGAGCCATGATCGCCTACGTTCTGAAGGGACATTTAAAGAGAAGAAAATTGTGGAGGAGTCGTGATCACCTATGTTATGGAGGAACACTTAAAAAAAGGGAAATTGTGGAGGGCCATGATCGCCTACGATCTGAAGGGACATTTACAGAAAATGAAATTGCGTAGAAGTCGTGATCACCTATATTATGGAGGGACACTTTAAAAAAAGGAAATTGTGGAGGGCCATGATCGCCTACGTTCTGAAGGGACATTTAAAGAGAAGAAAATTGTGGAGGAGTCGTGATCACCTATGTTATGGAGGAACACTTGAAGAAAAGGAAATTGTGGAGGGCCATGATCGCCTACGTTCTAAAGGGACATTTAAAGAAATGGACATTGCAGACACTCATGATCGCTTACCTTCTAAATAGACATTTAAATAAAAGGAAATTGTGGAAAAGTTATGATCGCCTTTTGAACGGATATTTAAAGAAATTGCGAAGAGTCATGATCGCCTACGTGTTGGAAGGACATTTAAAGAAAAGGAAATTGTAGAGAGCCATGATCGCCTATGTTCTGAAGAGACGTGGCATTTAAAGAAAGAGGGAAAGATGATGTGGTTTACGAATCAAACCCATTTGCTCATTTGAGCATTAAATTAACATAAGTCAATTTCAGAACAAGAAATTGCTCTTTAGAAAAGAGGATTTTATCTTCACGTAACACATTTAACCACGTGTAGGTGCGTCTAGCTCAATATAACTTGTGTCGTGCTAGACAACTTTTATCTCCTGAATCTATCTGACGTATCTATAAGTATATCATTCGTCCATACTTAGACTATTGCTGTCACATATGGTCCAGTCCGTTTGCTTTATATTTAGAAATTTTTGATAAAATCCAAAGAAGAATCAGCAATATATATCATTTTAATTGTTCGGGCGAGCTTTTCGCTATAGTGCCTAGACTTTTTGAATTTCAAGCGCAGTACTAGACTATCGACGAGGGTCTCTTCAATTTACAGTCGAGTTGGCTAGATGCAACCGTAAGTTCTATGCTAACAGTTTCTTTTCTCGCTCTTCTCGCTTGTGAAACTCTCTCCGTGCTTTCCAACTAATTTTGATCTTCAAAAATGTAAATGCTATGTCAATCGCTATCTAATGTCCCCCTGACTACAAGTCTATTGTTCTCGCTCCTTATTAATAATACTCTGGTTTCTAATCCTTCCACACCCAGTAACCCGTTGTGTCTTAGTGGCTTTTTTACCTTGCTTGGAGGGAACTCGATTAAAAAAAACTAAATCAACTAACGGAAAATTTCGAGGTGAGCACGCTTCCCATTAGGTTACTCACGTTTTAGTTGTATTCTATTCACGCTGGCTAGGTATAATTTGTTTTGTCACTTTGTTTACCGAAAAAAACAACGTTTGTACAAAAACTTGTATTTTTTATATAAAGGGTGTTTCAATAATTTGGACCGATTTTAATATAAATTAAGTTTAAGCGTATAATGTTTTTTTTTTGTTTTTTTCATTCAGATTTGGCGGACATTTGAGCGATATTATTTTCCCCGAATAATTGCCATGACTTAAATAACATGATCCAATAGAGAAATAAATAAATTTTCACCAATAACACTTATTTATTTACTGTTGATTTTGATCCGTCTTAATGAAACGCCCTTATATATATAATCCATCTTAGTGAAACACCCTTTATTATACTTGTATACAATTTTTAAATACATCTTGAAGAAGACACACATACTGTCGAAATGTTGTTTTCTTTGTTTAAATCGCGATCTTCTCTAATTTTTGAAAAAATATTGAGAGTTATGACAATCAATTTGTTTAATAATAATAATATGGAATAAATTTAGTCATAAAATAACAATAGAATTATTTACATTTACAGTCGGGCTAATGTCCTCATCTTCGTTGTTATCAAAACACTTCGGCCGTTGTACTCTTCGGTCTTAGTCACGTTCATCTAGTGCAAAATAAATATGAAAATAAGTCCTAGTCAACATTAATGATAATGGCCGACAAAGTTTCAGCTAAGAAAAAATTAAGAGGAAAGTAAATAAAATAATTAACAAATAATGATCTTTGATTACTTTTTACGTTTTTGTTTTACAGTGATATTCATCCTGTACAAGGCCCGAGAGCCACTCGAAGGAATTTAATGAAAATAAAATAAAGACAATTATTTGCACAATTTATATTGTTCGCACTGTTGTCCACATACTTATTGTTACATTCACGACGTTTCGGCGATGTACGCCCAGGCTTTCTTCAGGTGATTTACGCTGGAATTTCGAAGCAAACCCTTTATTTCATCCACCGGGGTAGATTGTTCTAATTCCATGTGACATACCATTTCCAGATATCACTGGATTACTTCAATCAACGCTTTTATCCAGTGACTTGACCCAAAGGGTTGTGAGTTCAATACCTGGCCACAGCATAGGTAAACAAAACTTGGAGAGTTGAGTGACTAAAGTAAAATACCTGGAACTGAGATATTGGCATGGCACGTGGAACTAGAAAAATCTCTCCCAGTGGACGAAGTAAAGGGTTCGGCTCGAAATATCAACGTATATCATCTGAAGAAGGCTGGAGCGTACAACGGCCGAAAAGTCGTGAATATGACAATGAAAATGAGGACAACAGTCCGAACAATGTAAATATTGTAAATAGTTACAATACCTCATCTCAGATATATAGAAAGATTCTGAAGAAGGCCGGAGCGTACAACGGACGAAACGTCGTCAATCTATATAATACTAAAAGTCTGTCATTTGTGTTTGCGTGGTGCGTCGTCCGCCCGGCGCATAAAAATGATGTAAGTTTCTTTACGCCTCTTTCTTCCCACCTCTCTCTCCTTCCACCTCTCTCTTCCCACCACTCTTTTTGATTGTGTCCGTGCGTGCGTGGTGCGTCATCCATCAGGCGCATAATAATCATTTAAGTTTCTTTTCACCTCTTTTTTCCACCTCTCTCTCTCTCTTCCCACCACTCTTTCCACCTTTCTTTCCATCTCTTTTTTTTCCCACCTCTCTCTTTCCGCTTCTCTCTCTCTCTCTTTCCCCCTCTCTCTTTCCACCGCTCTCTTTGCCTCCGTGCTTGCGTGGTGCGTCATCCGTCCGGTGCATAAAAATTGTTTCTTTTCACATCTTTTTTTCCACCTCTCTCTCTCTTCCCACCTCTCTTTCCACCTCTTTCTTTCCACCTCTTTCTCTTTCTGCCACTCTCTATTTCCTCATATCTGTGATTGCGCCCGTGCTAGCGTGATGCGTCGTCTTTCCGGTCCATAAAAATGATTTAAGTTTTTTTCCACCTCTCTCTCTCTCTCTCTCTCTCTCTCTCTCTCTCTCTTTCCTTCTTTTTCTCTTTCGACCTTTCTCTCTCTCCACCCCTGTCTCTCTCTGTTTCCACCTCTCTGTTTCCACCTATCTATGATTGCCTGCGTGGTGCAAGTTAATTTGATTTAAGTGAATAAGATTTTCAAAGTACAAGTTCTTTATACAGTATTTTTGTTTTAACTTTCTTCAAATTTTAATTAATTAAAGACAGTCACAAAGAGATGCCGCTTTGTTGTTTCGTCCATTTATTTATAGAGTAAATATCTAGATTTCAGCTTTTTTTTAAACAAACAATATATTAAAAATTTAAAAATATTTTTTGGCATATTCAAAAAATATTTTTAAGTGAATATGATGTAAAATATTTTTTGGCATATCAAAAAATTTTTTTAACTTAATCTGATTTAAAGTTCAAGTTATATTCCTATTAAATGCTGTAAACAATCAGTAAAATGTTAAACATGAACTTGTAAACCAGATCGATGATGAGACGAAGGAATTGAAATATTTAACTGAATCTTAATAAAATTAACTTGCATTTCAATGAAACGTTGAAATCAACTTCACTGTTTTATAACTTGAACCGTCTGTGACCCAACGGATCACGGGTAGTCTAGTATGGCAATAATGATGAGTCCGAACAATATAAATAGTGTAAATAGTTACAATACCTCTCTTCAGAAATATAGATCCTGAAGAAGGCCGGGGCGTACAACGACCGAAACGTTGTGAATATAACAATAAAGATGAGGACAATAGTCCGAACAATGTAACTAGTGTAAATACTACATCTCAGAAATACAGCCAGATCCTGAAGACGGTCGGAGCGTACAATGGTTGAAACGTCGTGAATATGACAATAAAGATGAGGACAACATAGTCCGAACAATGTAAATATTCTAAATAGTTACAATACCTCATCTCAGAAATATAGACGGATCCTGAAGACGGTCGGAGCGTACAATGGTTGCAACGTCGTGAATATGACAATAAAGATGAGGACAACAGCCCGAACAAAGTAAATATTGTAAATAGGTATAATACCTTATCTCAGAAATATTGACAGATGTTGAAGAAGGCCCGAGCGTAAAATGGTTGAAACGTCGTGAATATGACAATAAAGATGAGGACAACAGTCTGAACAATGTAAATATTGTAAATAGGTAAAATACCTAATCTCAGAAATATTGACAGATGTTGAAGAAGGCCCGAGCGTAAAATGGTTGAAACGTCGTGAATATGACAATAAAGATGAGGACAACAGTCTGAACAATGTAAATATTGTAAATAGGTAAAATACCTAATCTCAGAAATATTGACAGATTTTGAAGAAGGCCCGAGCGTACAATGGTTGAAACGTCGTGAATATGGCAATAAAGATGAGTCCGAACAATATAAATATTGTAAATAGTTACAATACCTCATCTCAGAAATATAGACAGATATTGAAAGATAATTATTATATTCATTTTTCATTGTCTTGTTGACCTTAAAATGAATAAAACTTGGAAGTCTGTCGTAAATAGCAACAGGAAAGCTCTCATTTCGTACTTGACTGCATATCTCACGGGAGGATCCCGCAACACCTTCTATGAAGTCGTTCCAATTCCCGCCGCTTGCCGTTTCACGAATGCATTCGGTAATATATTGAATATCTTTAACTCGCACATGGACTGTCAATGTTTCTTTCCTCGGAGACCGAAATACACTTGACGAAATCACCTGTTGCTGAATAGTGTCGAAAAAAAAAAACTTTCGACACAGTAAAGTAGGGAAAACCCAGAAGAGAGCAGCGACAGCCTGGTAAGGGTTACAAAAGGAATCCTCCTCTTGCGACCTGCTCCAACTAGGTCTAGTAACAGAGAAGAAAAAGAAGAAATAATCCTTCAGCACGACAAATAACCAGTCACGTGTCGGCTGATAGAGAAAATAGATCCCGTCAGAATACAGAGGATGGTTTTTATAAGGAGGCTAACTGCTTCCCACAATCCTCCTCCGACCAAGACCATAAATATCAGTTGGTCATTTGGTTCCAGTTTAGCTGGACACAATTCCCCCGAGGCTGAAGCAACCCGTCCGTAAGTAACCCCTTCTCTCTTCCTCTTTCCTTTTCTTCACAATAGTTGTCGTTTTTATTGTTGCCAGCCACTGGGACACAGGTATATATATATATATTTTTTTTTGTTATTATCCAGAATTTCAAACTGCAACTGTTTAAAATGTCCAAATCGCTGGAAGGTGGAGGAGGAAAAAAAAAATGAAAAAAAAAAAGGCTCTTTATAAAAGCCCAGCGGAATACTGCATAAGTTACTTCGGCTGTATATTGTAAATGTGATGTGGATTTCTTTATCGGGCAAGAAAATAATCGGATATCAAAACGGCGTATAATCGTCAGTATTATACGAGATGGTCTAAGGTGTGTTTCAAGCAGTATTTTAAATAAGATTATTTGTTTATATTTTATCAGCATGAAGCCATAACAAGGCACGACATGACTCAAAAAAGAATTAAGCATATACTAAAAGCGTCTCATATTTTTCTTGTAAACCTAAAACGAAGTTCTCTTTCTGCTTTTCACCGACCGGACAATTAACCCCATGTTGCATCTCTATTCTAGTTCGCGTCGGTGTGCACAAAGTACGGGAAATTGTGGCGAGGCATGAGCGCCTACGTCCTGAAGGGCCACGTTACAAAGAAGAAGAACATTTTATTTTTGTTCGTGGATGTCGGCGTCGTGAAGTAGTTTTCAAACAGTTGAAAAGAATTTGAGTGTAAGTCAATTATAACCAGGACGGAGAAATACTAAGTTTTAGAATGAATCCAGGGTAGCCGTGATCATCGAATCAATCCTGTCCTTATTTGCATAGTATGTACTTCGCTACATACAGTTTTGAATTCAAAGTTTTCTTTCTCCTAGACCAGTTGCCACCCAAGGCTATAGAACCCAGTCTGCCCTACTGTTTACCTAATTAGAAGCGTGGGATTCATATCTTTGCCAAGGGTAATAGCATTCAAATTGGAAAGCCGAGTTCGAATTACAGTCAAGTTCGTTACATTAACACCGTATTTCTTTTCCCTGACTGAAAATCTCACTTGTTAATCCTCTACCTTGAGTGATTCTTGGGCCTTGTATTGGGCGAACTAAAGAGTGTTCCAATAATTTGGAACGATTTTAAATGTGAATTAAGTTTAAGCGTCTAATGATTTTTTTTCTTTTTCTTTCGGATTTAACAACTTAAGTCTTTAGCAATTTCAGATTAACAAACATCCGGGAGTAAGGTATTTTATCGGAAGCTTGGAGGTTTTGAGGAGCGTGGAACCACATCTTAATTGCTGTTGTTCTCAGGTCCACCCTTCCAGTAGAAAGGACTCTAATCGGAAAATTACAGGTTTTGAGGAACATGGGCCCGCCTCCTAATTGCCGTTGTTCCCTGGTTCAGGATTCCGACAGCAAGGCCTCTGATCGGGGAAATTGAATGTTTTCAGGAGCATGGAACCACCTCTTAATTGCTGTTGTTCTCATATACACCTTTTCGGCATCTTTCAGATTTAACAACTTAAGTCTTTGGCAATTTCAACCATGGAAAGATTAACAAAGAACGTGTTAAAGTTTCAAGAGTGCAACTGGAAAAATTGTTCGTAAATTCAAACAAACTGGGTCGGTGGCAGATGTGAAAACACCATTGCGTGCTCGTTTACGCCGTTCAACTGAAGATATTGCTGCAGTGCACGTGAATGTAGCCGAAAATCCAGACTCCTCTATTCGTCATCGCGCGCAGGAATTGAACCTCTCCACAAAAACGTTACATCGTTTCCAATTGGAGTCTCGATTGGTCGATTAGGTTGACAAAACAATCGCGAAGTGCACGAAATGCATGTCTGTTTGAACGTCCATTTTCGTAATAGGCTTCGATAACTTTAACACGTTGTTTGTTAATCTTTCCATGGTTGAAATTGCCAAAGACTTTAGTTGTTAAATCTGAAAGTGTTATATTCCGTGCTAAAGGAATAAACACATAACACCAGGTGGATACTAGAAGAAAGGTTTATTGTACAGAACCAGTACAGTATGAAATGCGGTACAGTTATACACACAAGTCAATCTAGTAGTGAGTGCCACTAACTGGAAGGACGGACGTGTTTGCGTCGTGTCGCTCTCACTCTCCTGTCCAGGTCTCTCGTAGACAGTAGACTATATAGGTACTTACTACCTATAGTGTAATCATTCATGGGGGTCACTGGTTATTCCATCACATCAGAAAGAAAAAGGAAAAAAAAAAACAACTCATTAGACGCTTAAACTTAATTCATATTTAAAATCGGTCCAAGTTATTGTAACAACCTTTACTAGTAAAAATAAAATGTCCCCCTCACAGAAGTTTGTAGCAGAACTCAGGATCACCTTTCGGGATGGTGCCATTCGCTTTTCAAAATGCTGTTAGAATTTCCTTTGGGCATCAACGATGGATCTTTGGTTGATGAAGTATGTATTCCACTACGTATGCGATTTCGTTTGGATTCTGGGACATTATGAGGGCGCACTATCAGCAAAAGAGATATTAAATACCTGTAGGAAAATAGCAAAAGTCAGCCCTTCGACTGAGCTGAGATTCCGAAACCCAGCTCTTACGCTAACTAAATCCCTGATGCTGTAACCATTCGGCCACGAACGCATTCGCTTGTTAGCCTACTAAATACGTGTTCTCAAATAACTGCCGCACCTTTTACATCAAAGCCGTGGCAATTGAGGCATTATAAATGTATACTTCTCTTACAGACAAGAGAAACAAACTTCGTTCAATATCTCTCTCACCCCCACCCAGTCACAATTTCCATAAACTTGCGCATTAGGATTTGCACGGTTTGAAGAGACTGGGCCAAGACGCAAATTATCGCCTCTGGCATCAACCGGCAATTTCTAATCATTTAATATTGTCTAAATCTTTCTGCAATTTAAATAGATACTTTTTTATCAATAGAAAGCTGGTCAATAATTTTCCGTTAACTGTATATATATAAAAAAAAATCATCGATAGCAATTGAGATGTGAAAGACAAAAAAATGCGATTGATATATTTGAAAAAAAAATGCAACTAA